CGGCCTACTCGTGGGCGGCGGCCTTCGTGGGCTGAGCGGCGGCCTACGCGGCAGTCGACGGGCAGGGCGGCGGCCTACGCACGCTGCTCTAGGGGCCGCGCGAGGCCAGGGCGGGCTACGCGTGGGCGGCGTCGACTGCGTGGGCGGCTACCTGGTCGCGCGCACGTGAAACGGGCCGCGCGCGGGCGGCTAGCGGGCTGCGCGGGCAAAAAACGGGCCGCGCGAGCGACTAGCGGGCTACGCGGCCGAAAAAGCGGGGCGCTCGAGGGCGCACTAGGAGTGAGGCGCACGAGGGCGCGATTAGGAGAAGGCGCACGAGGGCGCAACTAGCGGAACGATGGGCCCTTAGGTAAGTGGTCCTAGGGCTAGGACCTACGCTCTTAATACCATGTCAGAATCAACAAGTGATTGAACTATGAACATTGGTGATACAAGTAGTAAACCCTAGAGTGGTATACCCCCTAAAGGCTAACCCACTATAGCCTACACAGCAATAACATATATAATGTTTGACAGCTCCCACCGTTGTAGAGTTAATCCTCACACCCTCAGCGGTAATCCTGAGGTGTGTTTGTGATGGTTCTAGAGGTAATGAAGGGTTGGGGCGTGGGGGATAATGAGGGCAGGGGGATAGGGGATAATGAGGCAGGGGGTTAAGGGATAGTTAGTGCAGGGAGATAGGGGATAATGAGGGCAGGGGGTTTGGGGGTAATGAGTGCATGGGCGTGGGGAATAATGAAGAACGGGGGGTGGGATAGTGCGGCAGGGGGGTGGGAGATAATAAGGGAAGGGCGCTGGAAATCATTAGGGCAAGGAAGTGAGGGATAATGAGGGTAGGGGGGTGGGAAATAATGAGGTATGGGGGGTGGGGAATCATGAGCTGGAGTGGGGCGTAGCATACGAGGCAAGTGAAGCAGGTGATATGATAGGATATGTTCCTTGCGGAAAACCCTTCATGGGTGAATGCAGGCTACACTCGCACTCGCCCCCCTTCCTTCCGCCAACATTTGCTCTCCCTCTCCATAACTTTGCATTCCACTTTCCCCCTCTTTTGTTTCCCCTCTACTTTGTAATGTAGCTGTGAAGGCTGCAACAGCCTATTGATTCTCCGATGTTGAACCTGTATGCCACAGGTATCTAAAGTCTATACTTTCTTCAACTACTAACTTGCCACTCGGCATCAGTCACAACTGGCTATTGAAAAAAAAAGTTGTAGATAACGTAAAGTTGACGTGCAAGAAAATAGGGAGCACACAGCCATCATTTGTGTGAAAACAAGTGGATTGAGCCATTATGCTAGAATCGCATGCATTGCATCATAATTGGAGCCTCATGACGATCCGATTGCATCACAACTGCCTGTGCTTATCCCCCCCCCAAAAGAAGGCACTCCAGTGCGCCACAGCATCGCATAAGTCATGAGGAGCAAACAGCGCCACTCCCCACCTCCCACCCCTTCTACTAGAAGTTGGTGTTGCTCTCGTACGTCCGCCCCGCACGACAATCCCTCTTAATCACGTCTTCAAGCACCACCTGATCGCCGCCCACCGCGTCACACGCACGCTCACCGTGCTGCCAACACCCACAATGTCCTTGGCGGGATTCAGAACCCACGTCGTGGTGTTTCCGTTCCGCGACATGCTCGTCCACTCGCTGCTGTCATTTGCAAGCTCAACATTCTCAACACCCGCGCTCTTCGCCGCTCCCAGAATGGTGAGTGCGAAATAGTGCTTGTCGCTGTTGCTCTGGATCCGAACCGCCATTTCCTGGCCATTAGTGTCGCAACTCACCAGACTGTAGTCAACTTCCACTGTAGCTGCCCGGTCTTAGGCAATTGCATCCCACGCGGGATTGTTGAGGTTGAAGCCGCTCGCACAATCACGGCGCTGCCCTTCTTGCAACTCTTGCTTTTCTTACAGGTAACCCAGTAGCACGTTTCGATGGGCCGTCATCGATCATGCTGCTAGACACCTCCGCGTGACTTTGCCCTTGAATAAATAGGGACTGTCGCCGAAGTTTGCTAATCTCGGTGTAGCACGAGGCGCCGCTGCTCAGATTTTTGGATCTGGATTGCGTCTTGAGGCGTCGGCAGGAGTGAGGGCGAGAGCTAACAAGAAGATTCCCACGCAGAGCAGGCCGTTGGTTTTGGAAGCGAGAGCCATCGGAGAAACCAGGGGCAAGAGCTTTCTGGAGTCTCTTGTTTTAATTATGAGTAGCTTGCTGAGCAGATCCTTGGATCATCGCGAAAAAAATGGAACGCAGGGTCGATTTTGATGATGACTTCAGGGTGAAATCAGAAGAATATGACGTGGGAACCCTGGGGGTTCAAAGCAAGAAAAGGCTTCGAGTCGCCATCGCGAAATGGCTGCGGTGACGATACGAAAGCAGGTGAAATTCGTGATCCAAGAGTGGATAGGCGAGAGGCTCAACCATAACCGTAATGCGAACCGGCGTCATTCCTTAGAAAAGCCATGTCGTTCCGTCAGTTTCGGGGACCAGGGGGAAATAATGTTCCAGGTGAGGCGAATTGGTTTACGATTATAGTATAGATGCGACGATCCATGCGAACTACAAACCTGGTAACTCAGCTCGTTTGACGAACCATCCCTCAACCAGCCAGCTCGTTAGCTTCCCTGCTTCGCCACCATGAACCACAGAGAACTGCACGCTAGGCCCTCAGAAGTCAGAGAAATGTCTCTGATTTGCATGAAAATGTCTGCTGTTTCAGATTTTCTTTAGGGTGTACTCTGAGAAATTCGGAATTTTTATGGCCACAACTCTGTAAAAATCAGATTCTTTTATAGGCGGACTCTGAACTTTCAAAGTTTTTCGAGAGTGTATTCTGATCATTCAGAGTACAAACCAGTACCGACTCTAATTGAATGTATCTGTGCACCGACACCCAGGATTAGCGGTATGTACATTGTACCTGTACCGTCAGTCACAAGAAATCTGTGACAACTGTCAAGTTCTTTGGGCGACGCGGGCCTGCGGCCCGATGTTTCCCTCGTACAGCCGGATGTTTCCCGCGCCCTGAGGCACGATGTTTCCCTCGGTGTAACCTCCAGCTTACACCCTGTTAGAGCACTGACTAGTGCGTTTGGCAGCTTTTGTCTTCCATCACGAACTCCACCACCACCAGTGTCGAAGATGCTGCAGCAGTTGCCACCCACGTAAAGGTGATGGCAAGCAGACGGTGCCAACAAGGCCTGTTGGCACACACCCTGAGCATTGATTGGTCCTTTAGGCAGCAACGTGTACCACGATGCTACAACATACACACACGAAACATTCCTCACAGCATTGCACGGCAGACGCGCCTCGTCGTTGCCGTGCATGCTAGGCAACCACCCACCCAACTCATGGATGGCCCATAGTGTGTTATAGGGCCTTCCTCTACGAGCTATGGTTTCATCCACACCCCTCAGCTCAACTTCAACTCACTGGGCCCATCCAGTGCCCAGATCAGTAGCCTCCTTGTCATTTCGTTCCTGCTCGGCAGGCTCTTTCAGATCCCCGCCATGGCTCAGCCCAAAAATCCCGCCACCAGCGATGACGATCCTGATTCACAGCTTGCCTTAACAGGCTTAGACTTTTTGCTCAGTCATCTAGCACTCGAGAAGGCAGCACGCACCGAGCCCGATACTATCCCCACCCTGAAGGAACCTTCAGCACCCATTATCTCAAAGCCCAACCCTGTGGCAGAGACAGCTGCGGAACCAACTGCCGTTTCGGCCTCGCACCATCCCACTCAGACCACGGCGCGAACCATCCGGCTCAAGCAGGCGACCTTGAGCTTCGCCAAGCCTTCATCCTCGTCTGCCGACGTCAACAACTCTCCCGTCTCATCTGAGCGTCCGCGTCCTTGCCTCACCATAAACCTGGCCGAGCTCATTGAAGGACTCTATGATGATGCAATTGACAAGCTCAAGACTCAGTGGCAAACACGTTTCCCCTGGCTTCAAATCAATAAAAACACCTCGGGGTTGCCTGCCTTCAAGTGTACTGTTTGTGCAGCGCATGCTTGCGACGGAGGCAAGTGCTGGAGGCGCCGGAAAGGTGCCACGGCCTTGCAGACCCAATCGTTTTGTGCACGCTGGCATGGCGAAGCACAAGCTGGCGATGGCAAGACTCACAGCTATGCAGGAGTGCGGTGCGAGGCAGCCGAAGATCGACCAACATCGCGCCACGGTGGACGGAGAGCAGCAACGCGTCGTCGCCCTTCTCGACTCGTTGCTGTTCATCAGCAGGTCCGACGCGCCCATGGGGATGTGGGTGAAGCTGGTGCATTACCTGGCGGAGAAGGGCGTGCCTGGCGTTCCGAAGAAGGGGTACGGCACCTACTACACCATATGAGTGCAAATGCCGGAAGCTATTTAATATACATCGGTGTTCCTAAGTTTTATCCCTATAATAATGTGCTCACTATTGTTAACATGTACAGATACGGCTTCGGTGAGCTGACGCAAGCCACTGTGACATGGCTGCATACAACCCAGCTAGATCATGTGCTGGCGTTGCCCTTCGTCGACATCGCTTTATCCTCCTTATCACTATTATCTGTGACAACAAGCTCGTCACATAGTTTATGGCGTTGCTCACCGTGGAAAAGGCCGACGCAGCTTCTCTTCTAAGTGTTCTTATGTCACATCTGCAGGCAGTCGGGATCGACCTGCAGCGCATTGCGGGGATCAGCACCGACAGTGCCAACGTCATGATGGGCAGCAAGTCTGGCCTCACCACACGCCTCCGCCTGCGCATCCCCCATCTGGTGTCATCCCACTGTATCGCGCACATGTATGTCTGTGTTTGTGCATAAACTTGCCGTGGGTTTTGTTCTAGTTGTTGACTTTCTCGATGTACTAATATTTATGAATTGTTGTACATGGAGGCACTGGCGGCTAAAACAGCCGCCGAGAAGATTCCTACGTGTCATTGACACGGTGATTCGCACCGTGGCAGAGCATCTCGGCCGTTCGGGGCCATGGCACCAACGGTTCATGGGGCTCCAAGAAGTTTTCGCGTCCACTTCTCTTGAGCTCCAGGGCATTCATGCCGTCCGTTGGCTTTCGCAGGGCGACGCAGTGCTCAGGCTTGTCGCCGTGCTTCCGGCTCTCATCGTGATGTTGAAGGAGTGGGACGCGAAGCTGTATGCTCTCGTGACAAGTTACAGGTTTCATTTTATTCTTTTCTTCATTGTTGATGTGCTTGAGCAGCTCAACATCCTGAACAGGGCGTTCCAGCACAAGGAGGTGAGATTGCTTATGGCTTTCTGTCAATATTGTTTTGTTACAGTGGGCATTCTGCTATAATCCTGCATGTTAACCGTTACCAGCCACTAACTACCTTCCGTCCTGTTTCTGTCCAGCTTAACTATGCAAGCGTGCATGCGCAGATCAAGCGCACAACGTCCCACATCGAGAGCCGCTACGTTGATTGTGGCGACGACTTCGGTGGCGGTGTCAGCGAGCTGCTGTCCCCCTTCATCGCGCGCCATGGGCCAGGGGGAAATCGGGAGGTGAAAGTCGAAGGGATTGACTCGGACGGCCGACCTGCACGCTTCACCTTCAGGTTGCACGAGGACGAGCTTGAGGAGTTCGAAGGGCTCGGGACTCACGATGGTTGCGTCGACGTCTGCACGGAGTTCGCCGAGGTGATCGTCCACCAACTGGAGCATCGGCTTGGCGACCTGGATGGCATGTCCAAGGCAAAGCTTTTCATGCCCGACGAGTACCCACTGGATCGAGAAGAGAGGAACCGCAGGTGTCTTGAGTGGCTTCAATCCCTTGTGACGTCGTTCAAGGCCGACCTGACAAAAGAGATCCTGCCAGGTAAGCCTAATGTTATGTGGTTTTGGTATTCTGCTGCATCAATGCCCAGGATGTATTACGTGCTACGCATCAATGTCTGTGTATATTTGTTTCATAGATTGCTCTTCTGTTATACTTTATCCCACCCCGCCAGGAATCAACAAGCGCCGAGCAGAGAAGGAGGTGCACATGTTCACCTCGGTGCTTGCAGCATCGACCAAGAGCGAGCGCAGCTTCCACGCGGGGCTCACTGCCACGCTCAAGACACCCGACTGGCGCAACAACTACCCCAACCTCGTACTTTTGTGGGTGGCAGTAGCTACAAGAAGCGCAAGCCACACAGCAACGCTCCACTCCCGCCTGCATGAACGCAACAGAACAAGGGCAGGGAGGCAGATGAAGTGATGGAAGTAGTAGACATAGAAGCAGAGAATGATGCATTTGACAGTGATGATGATGATGGATTTGATGATTAGGAGTCCTAAGAGATAGGTAGGATGTAGTAGACGTAGTAAGGTAGTTGCAGTATGTTTGTACTTTAAATTGAAGCCTGTATGCATTACAGTCTAATGTAGATTAACTAAGGCCAACAGGAAACACACTAAAAGATACAATCAGACTTATTAGTGGGCTAGATTCTGAAAATACTTTGAAAATTAGTTTGTTTCTTTAACAACTCTGAGAAATTTAGACTATTACTGTAGACTAGTCCAACGAATCAGACAGGCCAAAAACGAATCTGAGGCCCTGCTACACGCCCTGGAAATTATTCCCCAAAACACAGCCGCAAACGACGGACGGAAGGCGATTCTTGGTGAAATTTCCAGCGAACAATGGGAATTTTCGTAGCAGTTCGTTGAGCTCCTCGCTTACCCATTTTTTGACCCACGAAAATAGTTACAGATGTCCGCACCATCGCCATTCCGTCACAGCGCCAAGGGTGCGAAATTATTGTTATTTTCACTGTACAGCCCCACTCACCAGAAACGCTTTCATCGTGGGGCGAAAAATCACAAGATGGCGGCTCGACCTCTCTCGCTTGTCACGCAACTATTTTAATCACCTGCTTCTTCACATCATCGTCAAAGTCGAGCACTGCCTTCCAAGCGCCGAATTTCTTTTATACCCAGCTTGCTCTAGTTTGGCTTTCAAAAACCCTTCCTCGGCTCAGCAGTTCTTCCCTCTGCTCCATTCTCCGATGGCTCACCTTTCCACTGTCCGAGTCGCCGGCGCCCTGCTGTGCGTGGGATTCGTCCTTCTCGCCCTCGCCCTCACTCCTGCCGACGCCATCACGGGTACATCCTCCAACCTGGACAACGACGGCTCGTGCTACAGCCAGTTCAACTTCCGCGACAGTCCCTATTTCGACAACGGCTTGGTTGCGCAGGTGCCACGCAAGATCTTCAACGGCGGCCAGGGCTGCGGTACGTGCTACGAGGTTACGTGTAAGAACCAGCGTGGCTCGAGCTGCAATGGCGGCAAAGTGACAGTGCGAGCGATCGGTCCCAGCGGCGGCGATGATCGCATCGGCCTCAACACTCCTGCGTGGAACGTAATCTCCCTCAACCCGTGGGGCCAAATGGAGGTTACATACAAACCCGTGGACTGCCCTCGAGGCGTCAACATGGGCGTTAGACTCTTGCCGTATGCCAATCCGGACAGTTTCGCCCTTCAGATTTTCGGAGCGGCGAAGAAAGAAGGCGTGAAGGCGGTGGAGATAGCGAAGGAAGGCAGCGGCTCGTGGAAGGGCATGATAGGAAAGATGGGGCCACGTGGGAGCAGTCATCCGCCAAGGACATCGTGAAATCGGGGGGCAGGGTGAGCGTGCGCGTGACTTCAACGGGCGGCAAGCAGGTGGTGCTGAAGGGCGTCATTCCGAGCAACTGGCGCGCTGGAGAGATCTACGGCAGCGATACCAACTTCTAGTTTGGAACGGGTGTCCCCGCCGAGACGCCACGGTAGTAGTAATGCAATCGCGCTGAAGTGTGGCGCACCACAATTGCAGCTACCATGGTGGCTGAAGGGAGTGAATAAAAGTCCAGCCAGCCTAGGAGACGCAGGCGAATGGGCATGAAATCTATGGTGGTAATGTCGCTTATTGCACTCGGTTTTTTTTTGTAAGTGTTGCAGCTGCTTGCTCTTTGTTTTCTTGCACGGTCATCGTTTCTGTAACAGGTTTTATACTCTGTCATGTTTTTATGTGATGCGATTTACACTACATGAACACCAAAGGAGGAAACGTGTTGAGGTGTACAGTACAACCGCCAGGTATCAAGAAGAACCAAAGAAAATGAACGGGCCAACAGTGGCCAGATGGACCCAGGCATCCAGTGTGAGAACAAAAGAAAGAGCTTGGACCCAGGAGGTGATCAGCGGGATGGGCTGGGGTGAACGGTCGGCTCACATGGATGAACAAAACCAGGGGACACGGACGGGATGGGGAGTGATATGGATGGGGAGAGGCAAACGGGGAGAAGGGGAGGCTGAATGGGATGTGGGAAGGCGATAGGGATGGAATGATCATGACGGAGGGGCAAGGCCCAAGGAATGGGGGATTGGCATGCACACTTTACTCTTGTGAGATTGTGTGGCGCCTACCAATCGAATACGGTTTGGAGCCTCATGTCCCCAACTGATTGAGAAAGCATTCCCTCAATGTGGTGTACAAGCAATCCATTATTTGTTGTGCTTGAAGAAGAAGGAAAACCTTACGCATACATGAGCCACAATACTTGTCACTCTGGTTGTTTTTGCATCCGTGCTTCTGCAGCAGCAGCAGTAGCCAGGGCAAGCCTCTCACGGTCCTCCCTGCCTGCATCCCCCTCTGCTCCACCCCTCATCGCCACCACCCGTTCCTGCGCCTCCCTGCCTTCTCCAGGAAGGCAGGCCTGGGGGAAGAGAGCGGTGACGTCAGCAAGGGTGAGCGAGTCACGGTCCCGGCAGGACAGCAGGTTGGCGGCAGCGTGGGCGGCAGAGAGGGGGGCAGCAGCAGCTTTGGAGCGCGCGAGGGCGTGAATGGGCTCCTCCACCGTGCCATGCACCTGCAGGCATGCAGAGATGAGATAAGTGCAACGGATTCATGCAAAGACAAGCAGTTGACTCTTGACTCGCCTCAAACGCCACCTTGTGAATCGGCTGCTCCACCATGCCCTGCACCTGCAGGCAGTGAAGGGGGGGGGGGGGGGATGGGGGGGGGAAGGAGAGACAAGGAGGGGAGAGGGGAAGTAAAGCCAACCTTTGACCTTTGATTGTTGAGACGACCTGAAAGTCACATTTGAACGACATTCCCCTCCGTCCCTGCCTGCACTTGCAAGCAGTGGGCGGAACACAAGGGGGAACGGAGGAGGATGAATCTGTTTTCGGGGGTTACAAAAATGAAGTTACACAGACGAGGAGGATTGTGGTGCTCTCTGCACCGTAGCACGTGCTATCCCATGTGGTAATCTATCGATTCAGGCACCTGGTGCTATGAGACAAGTCACGCAGGTGTGCATGCTATCAAGCACAATCACATTCCACACCTCACTGCACTGCATGCGTGACAGCACATCACCCACTCACAATGAAGCGGTGAAGGAAGATGGGTCGGGTCTGGCCGATGCGGTGCACATAACTCACCACGAAGCGGTGCACAAAGGTCTGGTGGGTCTGGCCGATGCGGTGCACATAACTCACCACGAAGCGGTGCACAAAGGTCTGGCGGGTCTGGCCGATGTGGTGCACATAACTCACCACGAAGCGGTGCACAAAGGTCTGGCGGGTCTGGCCGATGCGGTGCACATAACTCACCACGAAGCGGTGCACAAAGGTCTGGCGGGTCTGGCCGATGCGGTGCACATAACTCACCACGAAGCGGTGCACAAAGGTCTGGCGGGTCTGGCCGATGCAGTGCACATAACTCACCACGAAGCGGTGCACAAAGGTCTGGCGGGTCTGGCCGATGCGGTGCACATAACTCACCACGAAGCGGTGCACAAAGGTCTGGCGGGTCTGGCCGATGCAGTGCACATAACTCACCACGAAGCGGTGCACAAAGGTCTGGCGGGTCTGGCCGATGCGGTGCACATAACTCACCACGAAGCGGTGCACAAAGGTCTGGCGGGTCTGGCCGATGCGGTGCACGCGGTTGGCAGCCTGCGCCTCAGCGGCCGCATTGAGCCCCGGCTCCACAAACACCACGTGCTGTGCCTCCACCACGTTCAGCCCGTTGCCCCCCACCGCCACAACCAGCAGCAAGACTCGGCACTGTTCCCCACCTCCCCCGTCCCCGACCCCTCCTGCTTCCCTCCCGCCGCCCTCCCCCCCTTGCGCACTGCTCACTGCCCCCGCTGCCCCGCCTGTGGCAGCAGCAGTAGCAGCAGTGGCCGGTGGGATGGCAGGTGGCAGGGGAGAGGCGAGGGAGCGTTTGCGGCGCTTGGTGCGGGGCTTATGGGAGGGGCGGGTGGGGCGAGCGGAGAGGGCTGCTGCGGGAGTGACCTCTCTGAAGCGCTTCAATGCTGGAGGCACTTCCCTGGAGACACAAGTGTTGAGTTGAGTGGGAGCATGGCAGAACAAACCGAACAATCGAACGATGATGGAAGAACAAACCAAGGACTTGAACGAGGTGCATAAGTATTAACTGCAAACAAGAGGAGACTCATGGGCCTATTGTAAGCACAGGAAAAAGAACAAGGTTAGAGGTGAGTGGAGTAGAGTGTGTGTGGGGGGAAGAGGGGGTAGTGTAGGGAGGGGTAGAAAGTAGGGGAAGTTCAAGAAAGCAGGATGGAAAGGTGGGGTGTGCACTGGTGGGAGAAGGCGGAGGCAGTGGGGACGGCGTTGGCGTGCAGGCAGTGCTGCACGAGCAGCAGCACCTCCCTCCACGCGCTGAAGATGATGACGCGCGCTGATGGGTCGCTGCGCAGTAGCCGTAACACCCGCCGCGTTACCGCGTCCAGCTGGAAAGATGGGCATGGGTGGCATGGGGTGGCATGGGATGGGATGCGGTGCGAGTAAGAAAGAGGATGCTAGGATGGAAGAAGGGCACGCAAAGGCAGGGTTGACGAGGTTTCACATTACAATAAATCAGCGATGATGCAATACCATTGTAGCCTCATACATCAGCGACTTGACACCTTCAAAACTTTTCATCTCAGTAACTTAGCACCTCAGCATCATAGTGCTGCGCTGCCTACCTTGGTGCCGAACCCTGTATGAATGCTCATCTGCTCCTCCTGCATCCGCACTTCATCTGGCAACTCCTGCTCCTCCCCCTCCCTCCCTCCACCGCCCCCACCACCACGGCTGTTGGTGCGACAACAGCAATTATGTGCCTCCACGCTGGTATGCGACAGTGCTCCTGCGGCTGACGCTGACGATATTGTTGAACCACAACGGCAGGGACCATTACATTGCTGACCGCTTCCAAATGTGTTGAAGTCCTCACCACCTGTGCTCTGATCCGTCTGCAGGGCAGCAGCAGGGTACCCATGGTGGTCCCTACGGTTGTCCACGTAGGCAATCTCCGATGCCCTTGCCACGTGGCGGCATGTGGGGCATCGCATGCGCCGCTCCCTGCTGCTGATGGTGGTGGTGGTGGCTTGAGGGGACCTCTCCACCAGTAAACATGTGCCTGCAGAGATGACATGGTGGGATGACACAGTGAGGTGAGGTGAGGTGAGGTGAGGTGAGGTGAGAAGAGATGACATGGAAAGATATTACATTGACATGAGACGATAAAAGGCGACACAGTGAAGCGACACAATGAGAGATGGCGCAGTGAGATGACACATGGTGAGGGATGAAACGGAGGGAGAGCACTCACACTTGCAGCACAGCAGATGCCCGCACGGCAGCACCGATAACTCACTGCCCAACGCCTCCCTGCACACAGGGCAGCTCTCCTCCTCCCCCTCCTCTCCACCACCCCTCTCCCCTCCCCCACCTTTCCCACTCCCTCCCCCATCCCCTTCCTCCCCACCCATCTCCGTCCCCACGCCTCCCCCGCCTTGCACCGCGCGCCGGCGAGCAGAAGCCAGCCCGTGCAGGTACCTCAGCTGGGCGCGGCTGGCCTGCAGCTGAGCATCGGCTGCCAGCCTGTCATGCGTCAGCACCACGCTCAGCGCCGCCGCCTCCTCCTCACTCACACGTGCCATGCGTGTAGCTGCTGACGTGGCAGCTGGCGGCTCGTCCACGTGGCGGAGCGTGATTCGCGTGACGGCCATGTGCAGCTCATCTAGCGCTCTGAGCACTCCCCTCTGTGCCTCCGACCACGCTCGCGCCATCAGGAACTCCTTTCGCATGGCCTGGTGTGCGGGGAGGGGAGCAGCAGCAGAGGAAAGATGACATTTGAGTCGACTCAAAAGTCGCCTCCGACCACGCTCGGGCCACCAGGAACTCCTTTCGCATTGCGTGGTGTGCGGGGAGGGAGCAGCAGCAGAGGGAAGGCGGCCGCACAAGGCACAGGACTACAGGGGCACAGGAGCATGGAAGGGCGACTGCGAGTGAAAAGGTTTGGAGAATGGATGAGAGTGAAAGGTCAACGGAAGGTCCACTCATGCAGCGTGCCATGACAAGCAAGAAAATGCTTGCCATGGCAGATGGAATCCAGATAGCATGGCAGATTGGGAGAAGACATCACGGCGTGCAGCCCCTCTCGCCTCAAGAGCCACGCCGGTGCATCGCATCTCGCCTCACCTCCAGAGCCTCCAAAGAGCTGGACGCTGCAGCTGCCAGGCTGGCTTGCTTGTCCTCTGGGATGATGCCACGTGGCAATGATCGCAGCACAGACGCCAGCACAGCAAGGCACCTCTCAGTGTCAGACGGGTTCCACACCACCGTTCCCCCCTTCCCCTCTACCCCGCCTGACCCGTCCCCTCCCTCGCCCCTGCTGCCCCTCCCCCTCCCACCCTGCCCCCCTGTTGCTGCTGCAGCAGCAAGCGGGGTGCGGCGCACACCGAGAGTGGATTGGAGGACGTGTAGGGGGTCGTGGGGCAAGGAGGAGGGATGGGGAGGTTCAGGATGGTCGGAGGGGGACGAGGCGGGGAGGGAAGTGGGGGCGGAGGAGAGGCGCAGGTGGAAGAGACGTCGCTGGTAGCTCTGGCAGGGGGGAAGAGACAGGGGCGTTGGTGGGAGGGGGTACTTAGAGAAACGAGGGTGTGCAGATCAATAGCGAGGACGGTGGGAGGGGACGAGTTGTACGAGTCGATGGTATCGTGGCGTTGTGCCCTTTTTCATGGCTGTACTGTTTCTCGTTCATCCTCTCTTCATTTGGATAACTTGATGGTTGCTGACGAGTCAAGCACGGCGTGTGGAGCGGGCTCAGGTCGACAAGCCGGACCGCCCGCTCATGACTAGCCCGATCCTCACTAGGTTATTCCCCACCGCCTCTGTGCCTGGGTGGACTGCCTAAGCGGACTGCCTAGGTGGACTTGATGAGCTCGCATCGCATAATGAGGTAGATAGGATCCATGTGCGTGCGACCTCGCACGCACGCTTGCCTTCAAACAGGGGTTGCTCGCATGCGACGCACCTTATGCTCAGTGTAGCACGTGCTCGCATGCGACGCACCTTATGCTCAGTGTAGCACGCGCTCGCATGCGACGCACCTTATGCTCAGTGTAGCACGTGCTCGCATGCGACGCACCTTATGCTCAGTGTAGCACGTGCTCGCATGCGACGCACCTTATGCTCAGTGTAGCACGTGCTCGCATGCGACGCACCTTATGCTCAGTGTAGCACGTGCTCGCATGCGACGCACCTTATGCTCAGTGTAGCACGTGCTCGCATGCGACGCACCTTATGCTCAGTGTAGCACGTGCTCGCATGCGACGCACCTTATGCTCAGTGTAGCACGTGCTCGCATGCGACGCACCTTATGCTCAGTGTAGCACGTGCTCGCATGCGACGCACCTTATGCTCAGTGTAGCACGTGCTCGCATGCGACGCACCTTATGCTCAGTGTAGCACGTGCTCGCATGCGACGCACCTTATGCTCAGTGTAGCACGTGCTCGCATGCGACGCACCTTATGCTCAGTGTAGCACGTGCTCGCATGCGACGCACCTTATGCTCAGTGTAGCACGTGCTCGCAAGGTGAAGTGGCGGACGGAAACGGAATGGCAGGAGTGAAGCAGCATAAGAAACACACACTACATGAGACGGGAAAATGATAAGGTAGCCATTGCACTTACGTCCTGCACAGAGGAGCACACTACGCTGCGGTGGTTCAGTATACCAGAGAAACGGAAGAAGCTACTCATCACCCTGACCGAACCACATGATGCAACCATCTCACCTCGAAGAACTCCTGTGTCTTGCAGTGCATGCAGCACTCATCCCCCCCACCCGTTCCGGCTCCTGCCTCGCCACCCAATCCACCAGCCAGCAACCCCCCAGCCCCCCTTGCGTCCGCCCCCTCCTCACCCTCCTGCCCGGCACAGCAGCGAGCACACGAGCCTGCCTGTGCGACGAGGCTGCCCTGCACGCCCTGCGCCGCCACCTGGCCCCCCGCCTGCAGCACGCGCTGCAGCACCTCCCGCCTGCCCGCCAGCAGCGAGTCCACCTCTCCTGCCAGCACCAGCCGCACCCCGTGCAGCGTGCGGAACCTGCGACGAGGGGGGTTGCACGGAGGGGGCCGATAGTGGGAAAAGGGGTTCGCTGCCTGGCAGCAACAGCTGCCCTGCCAGCACCAGCCGGCCGCAACCCCCTACAGCGCGTGGGAGGGGCCTGCCATGTGCGGAGATGCGGGAGGATAGGAGGGTGGGAGTGGTGGCGTGGCCAGGGCTCCTAGGCTCGAGGTGTTTCACTCTATCCTGTCTAATCCGTTTCTCACCTGAGGGAGGCACACCTGACCTGGGGCATGTGGAAGGAAGCACCTGAAGATGTCATGTCACACCAGGAGCATGGAACAAACTACTTTTGAGGCGCCTCAAAAGTCGCACCTGGGGCACGCGGAAGGAAGCACCTGAGGATGTCACATGAGCATGGGACATCGCACCTGAGCCCAAGGCTGGCCATGTTGTGGGTATGGGCCGGGCGGTGGTCGTCGTCCAGTAGCGCTCGGTGCAGGCGTGCCGTGACGCTCTCCGCCATGCCGGGCGGTGCAGAGGAGTGCAGTGCAGTGAGGAGCGTGAGCCACCAGGGGGTGGTGGCGGTGGAGAGGCATGCCGCTGCCAGATGGGCCTCCACCTGCCCATGTGGGGGTGGGTGTGTGTGTGGGTGGGCGGGGTGAGTGCTGTGATGCAATGTGGGCGTGCAGTGCAGGCAGCATTGATGTGTGGGTGGGAAAATCAGAAGGCAGTTGCACATGCACACTATCTCATGTGCAGGTATGTTCCCAACCTCCAACCCAACTCACCTGAGAGTGTGTGTCCTCAAATGCTTTCTGAGCAGCAGCAGCGCGGCCCCTCACAGGCGCCAGGTACCGTTCCTTCACCTCACCGCTCTCCGCCTCCAGCCGCCCATCCCTCAGTGTCCTCGCCACACCCACCCCTGCTCCATCGCCACCTGGCTCCACCGCATTGCACCCCTTCTCACCCTCTCGCGTCCCTTCTCCATCCCTGGTGGTGTGCAGCAGGGCGAGCAGCTCATGCAGGTTGTGCAGCACGTGCAGGCGCTGCAGGGGGTCCGTGCGCAGCACACTGCCATGCGTGGTGGGCCGCGCCACACACAACCCACTGCCTCTTCCTTCCTCCCCATCGCCATCTCCAACCCGTCCCCTCGCTGCTTCCCCATCCCCCGGGCCATCCCCGTCCATGAGGCGCAGCACATTGCGGTAAATCCCCACCGCCTGCACCACCCCTGCCCGCCACTGCTCGCTGCTGTTCTCGGTGCGGAGGCGGGAGTGAGAGGAAGAGGAAGAGGCGGGCGGCGAGGACGAGTGGAGGGGGAGGGCGGGGGCGTGGATGGCGGCGAGGGCAGCGAGGCCGTTGAGGGCGGAGATGAGGAGGCGCTGGGCTTCCTCCGCCTCCACCCGCGCCTTCTCCAACAGCACCTGGGGGTATGGGCATGATGATGCGCGTGATGAAGCCGGTGATGATGTCCGTGCTGATACCATTACCATGCCACGCGTATGCATACCATTACCATGCCACGCGTATGCATACCATTACCATGCCACGCGTATGCATTCACCGGAAAGGCCGATGACTTGAAAAGACAGGTGGAAAACGGCTTGGGGCAAACGAGATAAGGAAGCTGCAAGGCATAAAAAAGCTGGGAGGAGTGGCACACAACTGAGTTGAGCAGGTGGAACGTGCCTTACCCTCCCACCTCACCTGCATCATCACCTCACCTGCACCACATCTCACCTGCACCACATCTCACCTGCACCACATCTCACCTGCACCACATCTCACCTGCACCACATCTCACCTGCACCACATCTCACCTGCACCACATCTCACCTGCACCACATCTCACCTGCACCACATCTCACCTGCACCACATCTCACCTGCACCACATCTCACCTGCACCACATCTCACCTGCACCACATCTCACCTGCACCACGCATCTCACCTGCACCACGCATCTCACCTGCACCACAACTCACCTGCACCACATCTCACCTGCACCACGCATCTCACCTGCACCACGCATCTCACCTGCACCACGCATCTCACCTGCACCACGCATCTCACCTGCACCACGCATCTCACCTGCACCACGCATCTCACCTGCACCACGCATCTCACCTGCACCACGCATCTCACCTGCACCACGCATCTCACCTGACCACGCACCTCACCTGCAGCACCTCGCCCATGTGCATGGGGCGGCCCTGTGATCCCAGCGGTCTGAGCCCACCCGAGCCGATCTGAGGGTGGCAGCAGGCGTGGCGCAGCAGCAGCAGCGACGCCAGGAACCGCTCCATGTCGCCCCGCCATGCACCCGCTAATGACCGTGCCCCCAGCACCAGCTGCTCCTGCTGCTGCTGCCACTCTCTGCCCCCTCCCTGCCATTGCTGCTCCCCCTCCGCCTCTGCATCCCCATCCCCATCACCTCTTCCATCTAATCCCACTCCGTCTCCAACTCCTCCTCCGCTTCTCCTCCCTCCTCCCCTCCGGCCCCCGCGTGCCACGGAGCGCAGCATGCTGGTGGCGCGCTGGGCGCACTTGGCGTGCTGCTGGCGGTAGAAGTGCGCCTCGATGGCGCTGAACCGCAGCACCGTCAGCAGCTGCCGCTGAGGTGGCAGCGCCAGCTCGTCCGCCACGTCGGCCTTGTGATGGCGCCACATCAGCCTCGACATGAGGGCCAGGAGCGCGTGCCATGCTGCCAAGCATCCATTCTGACGTGGCATTGCCAAAGAGGGGGAGGCGGTGGAGGGGGGGAGGCGTTGGAGAGATATGAGGGGGGGAGTTAAAGAGGGAGGAGTCGAGACGAGAGAGGGCAAGGGCGAACGAACCAGTGGGGCAGAGCACGAGGCACAGTTGAACTTGGCATCACAGTTGAGCTTGGCATCACAGTTGAACTTGGCATCACAGTTGAACTTGGCATCACAGTTGAACTTGGCATCACAGTTGAACTTGGCATCACAGTTGAACTTGGCATCACAGTTGAACTTGGCATCACGTTAACTCAGTCGAACGTTGTGTTTCACACACACTCCATTCTGTTTGTGCCAGTCACCACGTATCACCCTCCCTCCCTCCCTCCCTCCCTCTCTCCCTCCCTCCCTCTCTCTCTCCTCGTAATTTCACTCACCCACAAGAGCGCAAAGGAAGTTCTAACTGTCACAATGACGCACCCCAGCACCATTCATTCCCCCCCCCCCTTTTGATGATATAACAGCAGCTGCCAACACAAGGTCATCACTCATTCAGTGCAGCCATCCAATGCACCCACTGCTCCCCTCCACCCCTCCTCCTCGCCTCGCCGCAACAGGCTTCTGTTCGAATCGGACTGCTCAAACGCCCATCACCATCCCTGTTCAAACGCTTCTGTTCGCCCCCACCACCATTCACCCCCACACCCACCCATTCCACAAACCATCACCAACGCAGCTGACGGGCTCACCTGGATAGGCAGCTGGAAAAAATGCCGCCACCAGTGAGGCTCGTCAAACGGCGAGGCTCGGAGGAACCGGAGCAGGCCGAGGAGGTCAGGGAGGCCGCGGTGCAGCGGCGTGCCGGAGACGCACCAGCGGAGGCGCGCTGGCAGGCGGGCCGCCATGAGGGCCGCGTTGGACGCCCCCCCCTCCACCAGCTGCGCCTCGACCAGACACACCCTCCACCACTGCAGACGCGTTAGTGGTGTGGGGCGGATTTGGTACCTAGAGGAAGGGGTGGGACGGCAAGGAGGTGAGGGAGGGCGGGCAGGCAGGCCCCCATTCTGGCGGCGTTGGAGGCTCCCCCATTCACCTGCTGCGCTGCGTCCACACACACCCGCCACCACCGCAGCTGTATCAGTGGCATGGGCCGAATTCGGTACCTGGCGGGGGGTATGGTGGGCAGAGAGGTGGGCGGGGGCAAGACGGGTAGGGAGGTGTGGGAAGGCGTGGAAAGAGGTGTTCGCTCACCCCTTGTCCTCTTGAGCTTCCAGCCACCCCGTTCCTACAATGCACACATGCACTCTCAGTCACCCACACTCCCCTCACGTCCCCACCCCTCACCCAGCATCACACCCCACTAACTGTTCCCCTTCACACTCGCACCCAGCAAAACACACCTTCCACGCACCTCTTCTCATATCTCAGCTGCCGTGTCGCCACGTGTCCCTGCCCACCCACATCGTGCCAGATGTCGCCACGCAGCGTGTCATATGACGTCAGCACGATGTCAGCAGCTGCCAGGTCATCAAGAGTCACTGCAGGCACCTCCTCCCACACCGCCTCCGACTCCCCCTCACCGCCACCCACCCCTCCTCTCTCTTCCCCACCTCTGCCACCCAGCCCTCCTTCCTGTAGCCCCGTTTCTCCATCGCCTGATGCAACGCCCACCTGCCCTCCTCCACTCCCTTGCACTGCTTGCCTGCCTCCTGCACACACTCTCTCTCCATCCCTCCATCCGCTGCCATCCCCGCATTTCCCTTTGCTGCCCGCGCCGCCCTTTCCCTCACTGCTCTCTCCATCCACCCGCCTCTTGCCATCCCCATCCTCTCCTCCGCCACTCCACCTGCCATCTCCTGCCATCCCCTCTCGACCACCACACTCTCCCACCCTTCCAGCTGTGGCAGACGATGCAGTGAGAGGAGAATCGGAGGAGGCAACGGGAGGAGAGGCAGGGGACGTGGTGAGAGGAGTGGAAGGGGACTGGTCCCCTTCCAAGGGCATGGCTTGAGGGGGTGAGGTGAGGGGAGCGTGGGGGGGCGAGGTAGGGGCGGGGCGGAAGGAGAGGCGCAGAGCGGGGCTGTTGACACCGCGGTACACCAGCACTCCCACTGTGTGAGGCCGCGTGTGCCTGGTGGGCGTGGGGTGGTGAGGGGAGAGAGGAGGAAGTTGACTTTTGGGTCAACTCAAAAGTCAGAGAAGGGCTGTTGACACCGCGGTACACCAGCACGCCCACTGTGTGGGGCCGCGTGTGCCTGGTGGACGCCGGCAGGGGGGTGCGAGGAGAGTGGAAGGCGTGCGGTTTGATGCATGAAGCAGTGCATGCACGATGAGTGGCAGGGACAGGGTAAGAGGAGGCGAGGCATGCTTACACCGACGAACGAGGGGCCCACAAGAATGGAACGAGGGGCCCACAAGAATGGAACGAGGGGCCCACAAGAATGGAACGAGGGGCCCACAAGAATGGAACGAGGGGCCCACAAGAATGGAACGAGGGGCCCACAAGAATGGAACGAGGGGCCCACAAGAATGGAACGAGGGGCCCACAAGAATGGAACGAGGGGCCCACAAGAATGGAACGAGGGGCCCACAAGAATGGAACGAGGGGCCCACAAGAATGGAACGAGGGGCCCACAAGAATGGAACGAGGGGCCCACAAGAATGGAACGAGGGGCCCACAAGAATGGAACGAGGGGCCCACAAGAATGGAACGAGGGGCCCACAAGAATGGAACGAGGGGCCCACAAGAATGGAACGAGGGGCCCACAAGAATGGAACGAGGGGCCCACAAGAATGGAACGAGGGGCCCACAAGAATGGAACATCCAATCAGCTGTTATAGTCACAATAGGCTTGAATGTGCCTAAAACGAAAGATAGAGAGCACAGACGGATTTCTGCACAGCGGCTTCAAACGTTGATAGCGTTCCGGTCACAGCTGCAAATGACTTGATTCAAATTGGATCTGGAGCGTCTTCACGTCGTCTACAATTAGCAATTTAGATTGCACGATTTGATAAAGAATTGACGATACAGCGTCGGTTTGAACGAACGGTACTATGGCAGCCACTATAGTCTTAGAACACAAGATAGGAAGAGTTACGAGTTGGGAATGACTCCCAGCTCCTACAAACCCCAAGAGCCGAGGTACAGTGATGTGGAACAGTGCCACACTGTCCCCAACCACGAAGGGTCTCGAAACTACCCTTCACTAGGGCCTACACCAAGTGAAATGTTACACTACACAAAGTAATGTAACTATCTTCAATATCTTGAGGTGTACCCTTTTGGCAAGCTTCGAAGTCACTTGAGGCTTGACACCAAGGCTCGGGCTCTTCATCACAAACTCATCCTTGAGTTCTTGATGGGTCTGCTGCACACACCTGCGACACGCCGAACGTTCGACACAGGACAAAATAGAAACCGCGCACGACAAAATAGAAACCGCGCGCGAGACACAAACGACCGCGTAACACGCGTCTAGCGATAACTCGCTATTGACTCGACACACACACTCGACATCATGACTCAACATTCACACACAATTATAAGCATGAAATATATATTATCCCATGCCCTCATACCATTCCATACACACACACATTCACGCACACGGACAACAAGCCGAGTGCAAACCGTAGGGTTGCACCAACAAACTCCCCCTCGGATTGTTGGCCTTAGGATATGTTGCTCTCTCAGTTCAGAGCCATCCCAGCCAGCTTGCAACACTTCCAATGCTGCTGCTCCACCAGCCTCTTGGTCATCATGTCAGCCGGCTGCCCCGTGGTCTTCACGTAGCGCAACTCAACTTCACCCGCGGTTACCATGCTCCTCGTCCAATGCCACTTCACCCTCATGTGCTTCGTGAGTCCATGCAACACAGGGTTCTTAGCAAGAGCAATGGCACCCTGGCTGTCACAGTACAGTGGGGTAGGTCCTTGCTGCTCCTCCCCCAATTCAGCCAACAAACGCCGCTGCCACACAATTTCCCGTACGGCACGGAAGAGTGCCATGTACTCGGACTCCACCGAGCTCAAAGCTTGGTCAACCTGCTTCTTCCTCTCCCAAGCAGTTGGGCCTCCACCAACACAGCATATGAAGCCTCCCACACTTGTCATATCCTCTGGTTCTGATGCATATGAAGCATCCGAGTAGGCGGTGAGGAACAAACGCCCGGGTTCAACACCATCCGCGCTCTTTTGGCGCCTTTGTGCCGCCGCCGAGTATTGCAGCCCAACGGTCGGTGTTTGGCCAAGATACTTGGCCACCCTCATTCCAGCTGCTACCTGCTCCTCATTAGGGCATTGCACAACCCTAGCCAGCTGCCCGGTAGCAAACGCGACGTCCGGTCGGGTGTTTACCGCCGCATACATGAGGCTGCCCACCAACGAGTGAAATCGGCGCCTCTCCTCTTCACCAACGCTCTCCTCCTCTGGTCCCTTCACACACTTGAACCCAGAGGGAAAGGGTGTAGCCACATGGCCTTCACTCTGCCCAAAGTTGGCAGCCAATGCCTCCAGGTACTTTCGTTGATGCACCCGCATGCACCGCTTCTCCACATCTCGTTCAATGTGGAGCCCAAGGTAGAAGCTCACGTCACCAAGGGCCTTGCACTTGAACTTGTCTTGAAGCTTCAGCATCACCTCCTTCACAAGCTCAGAAGAGGGTGAGAAAATGAGGATGTCATCCACATAAACCACCATGAAACTCCTCTGCTCCCCCTCGCCAAGCATGAACAAGGAGTGATCGGCCGTTGAGGGAGTGAAGCCGATCCCCTCCAACACTTCGCGCAGCTTCATGTACCATTGCCTAGGGGCCTGCTTCAGCCCATAGAGGGCCTTCTTCAGCTTCCACACTCTACCACTACCATCATCAAACCCCTCTGGCTGCGCCATAAAAATCTCCTCCTCAAGGATGCCGTTAAGGAATGCCGTTACGATGTCCATTTGCTTTACTACCCATCCTTTGATGGCGGCTCCCGCGAATAGGGTTCGCAGCGTCGTCGGCTTCACCACAGGGGCAAACAGCTCCTTGAAGTCCACTTTCTCCTTCTGCTGGTACCCCTTGGCTACAAGCCTAGACTTGTAGCGCTCGATCTTGCCGTCGGCATCCGACTTGATTTTGAAGAGCCACTTGGACGTTATCGCCGTACGCCCCTCCGGTAGCTCCACCAATTCAAACGTGTCATTCTCCTCGATGCTCTTCAGCTCACTCTCCATGGCCTTCTTCCACTCCTCAGGATCACTACTCTCCAAAGCCTCCTTGAGAGTTGCTGGTTCTCCCGGCATCTCCACCGGAGTGAAGAATTGCGAAGGCACACTCCTCGTAGTCACTCTCCTCGTCGTCTCCGACCATCATTGCCGCTCCGGCCAGGGCTGTCTTGCCCTGCTTTCCCGGCGCATCATAGGTCAGCCTATTAGGGGGTTGAACTCTCCTCTTCCCCCTTCCTTCCTCCTCAGCTGCAGGGACTTGAAGGCCTTGGCGTTGCTGCGGTGTGGCTCGAATCCGTGGAGCACTCGTAGTACGGGAAGGGAGTGACGGTGCACGCTCGCTCACTTGCTGCACCTCCTCCTCTTCTTCCTCTGCATCATTGGCCTCCTCTCCCCCATTCACAAGGGAGCATTGCCTTGTGGTTGTGCTGCCGCTGCTCAGCTCCAAAGGCAGCTCCACATGCTCCAAACCGGAACTCTTCACCTCCCCAAACCGCACGCCTATCTTCGCCTCATTCTCCGCCTTCCAATCCTTGTACATGAAGTTCTCCATGAACTTGCAGTCCCTGCTCACCAAGAACTTCTTGGTGAATGGGTCCCAAAGAAGCCATCCCTTGCTGTTTTGAGCCATGCCCAAGTGCACGGCCCACACCGCCTTGGCACCAAGCTTGTTGTGCCGAAGATGCTTAGGCACGAGCGCCATGCACATGCACCCGAACACCCGAAGCATATCCACCTTTGGCTTCCTTCCTAGCCACTCCACATAGGGGACCCATTAGTCTGCTCCCACATGAGTCAAGGCTCTGTTCTTGGCCACACACGCGCTCCGCACCGCATCAGGCCAGAAATAGTCGGGTAGCCCGGCTTCAATGAGCAACCCGCGTGCCGCCTCCGTGATTGTGCGGTTCGCTCGCTCGGCGATGCCGTTCATTGCAGGGGAGTATGGCATGGTGAGGGAGTGCCGAATACCATTCTTCTTCAGCCACAACCCAAACTCCTTGCTCAGGAACTCTCCCCCTCGATCGGTGCGGATTGACTTGACTAGACGGTCTTGTTGCCGCTCCACCATCGGAAACCAATCCGTCTTCAACGTTTCAGCCACGTCGCTCTTCTTGGCCAGCACGTACACCCAAGTCATGCGGGTGTAGACGTCGACAATGGTGAGAAAATACTCAGCTCCAGTAGCTCCAAGCTTCAGGGGGCCCACCACGTCCATCACCACCTCATCAAGCGGTGCCTTTGCCGTTGCCTCCGAACTAGGGAACGGAAACCGGGTGAACTTGGCTTGAATGCACGTCGGGCAGCCAAGCACCTCATCGGGCTCCCCCTTCACACGTATGCCAGCAACCATCTCATTCTTCACTAGCTGCTGCAAGATGGGCAGGGCCACATGCCCCATGCGCCGATGCAAGGTGAGCCAATCACACTCCCCCGTAGCCGAAGTTGGATTGGAGAATGCCGCGCTCGCAATAGCGCCCCACATACTCTCTCCGTAGTCCTCCTCCGCTGCTGCCTCTGGGTTCTCCTCACCCTTTTGCTGCTCCTTGGTTGCTGCACCACTCTCCTTAGGTTCACTAAACTTGCTGGTCCCTCCAGGTTTGCTCTTCTTGAGCTCATTCTCCTTAGCGCGACCGTTCGCGCCATCGTCGCTACCGACCGCTCCATCCTTGGTGCTGATGCTTGCTGCCACTTGCCTCTCCTTAGGCATAGGGACCACTGGGATCTGCCACATCTCGTTGTAGACATCCCTGTCCTCATGAAGGTCCCAAAGAATTCGATCGCCAAGCCTTGCGGTG